TGCAGCCTGAGTGGTCTTCTGTGATGTGTTGAGTGTTAGCTCTCTCTTGAAAAATAGAAATTATCGGCCCAATCCTCTATAGAAATGAGGAATTGCATTCAACACGTATCGTCTAATGTAATGTACGTTTCCAAGTGCATTAATTTGCACTACAGGTATTTAACTATTTATTGGAGATTATTAGTTACCTGCCTAGAGGGTGACGTTAAAATGGATAGTCCAAGGAATAGTTGGGTAAGTATCTTACATTTTTTTTGTACACTTATAAGCAATGTAAACAGTGGTCTAGCAAGTTAGTTTAGAGTTGTCAAGTCACTTAATAATAATTGTTATACAGTCCACAATATAATTAGTCAATGTTACTGGCTTAAAAATTCCTAGTAATTATCCAGGAACCATATGTTCCTAATTTAAGGTGAAGATTGAGTGTGGGGAACTAAGAAGGTGGATATGACTGGGGGACATTATGGTGACCTAGTGTTCCTCAAGTCCCACTTGTAATCTGGTTTGATGTGCCGGATCTCCGCAATTATGTGGGTGAAATGTTAATTTAGGATTGTACCTGTATTCTCACAGTTTTGGTATTAATGTACCATATTATGTACGTACGTGCATCCAGAATAATTATAACCAGTGCGTAATTTAACCAGAGTTTTCTGTACATGATTTATATGTAAATTATATATATATATATATATATATATATATAATATATATATATATATATATATATATATATATATATATATATATATATATATATATATATATATTATCACACTGGCCGATTCCCACCAAGGCAGGGTGGCCCGAAAAAGAAAAACTTCCACCATCATTCACTCCATCACTGTCTTGCCAGAAGGGTGCTTTACACTACAGTTTTTAAACTGCAACATTAACACCCCTCCTTCAGAGTGCAGGCACTGTACTTCCCATCTCCAGGACTCAAGTCCGGCCTGCCGGTTTCCCTGAACCCCTTCATAAATGTTACTTTGCTTACACTCCAACAGCACGTCAAGTATTAAAAACCATTTGTCTCCATTCACTCCATCCCAGTTTTATAAAGTTTTTCTTCTTTTTTAGTAAATGTCTACAGGAGAAGGGGTTACTAGCCCATTGTTCCCGGCATTTTAGTCGCCTCATACGACACGCATGGCTTACGGAGGAAAGGTTCTTTTCCACTTCCCCATGGACAATAGAAGAAATAAAGAAGAACAAGAGCTATTTAGAAAAAGGAGAAAAACCTAGATGTATGTATATATATATGCATGTGCGTGTCTGTGAAGTGTGACCAAAGTGTAAGTAGGAGTAGCAAGATATCCCTGTTATCTAGCGTGTTTATGAGACAGAAAAAGAAACCAGCAATCCTACCATCATGCAAAACAGTTACAGGTTTCTGTTTCACAGTCATCTGGCAGGACGGTAGTACTTCCCTGGGTGGTTGCTGTCTACCAACCTACTACCTATATATATATATATATATATATATATATATATATAATGAGAGAGAGAGATAGTTGGAGGGAGGGGGAAAAGGGGGTTTTGTGTGTGAGGGGTTTAGACATACAGCAAGCGTGTGCAAACGTGTTGGATAGGAGTGAGTAGAGCCAGTTGGTTTTAATGACTTTACACGCCTTTAGAGTATGAGAAAGGAACAATTATGAAGGGATTCAGGGAACCTTGTTAGACGGGCTTGAGTCCTGGAGGTGGGAAGTACAGTGCCTGCACTCTGAAGGATGCGTGGGGATATGTTGCAGTTTTGGAACTGCATTGCAGACGCTCCTCTGGCGAGACAGTGATATAGTGAATGATGACAACGAAAGTTTCTCTCCTTTTTCGGGTCACCTGCCTTGGTGGGAAACGACCTGTCTTAAAAATATATCAACTTAAGCAGCACTCTGCCTAGTTTCAGCCGCGTGCATTGCGGCACGTGAGACTAGATTTATGGAATACGGTCCCTCAAGGGATGTTCCTTGACCCTGGTGAGGGGCTCTTGATCTGAGGCTTTTGTATATGTGCTCCAATTCCCTGAAATGAGCTTGAATGCCTTCCATCCCCCCCACCACAGGCGCTGTATAATCCAACGGGTTTAGCGCTCCCCCATAATTATATGATGTAATACGGGGATACCTTTGTCGGATAACGAAGCGACCGAAATACATTTAGGTTTCGATAGACCTTGTGAGATGTTAAATTTAAGGTGTGAAGCAAACATTGTGAAATCGTTGATCGTATTATGCACAGTTTTCTCCGTTTATAAAAACTTAGCCTCCCAAGTAATATATGGTTATAATTATCCTCACGGTGGTTATAATTATCCTCACGGTGGTTATAATTATCCTCACGGTGGTTATAATTATCCTCACGGTGGTTATAATTATCCTCACGGTGGTTATAATTATCCTCACGGTGGTTATAATTATCCTCACGGTGGTTATAATTATCCTCACGGTGGTTATAATTATCCTCACGGTGGTTATAATTATCCTCACGGTGGTTATAATTATCTTCACAGTGACAAGGAGGATTTAATAAACAAGTTTCTCTGTCTATAAAATTAGTATCGAAAGTAATAGCTATAATTATTTCCATATTGAAAAAATGTTGAAGTGTTTGGTACATTACTAACTAGCCTCTTGCTCGTGCTTGTTGCTGGTACAAAGAGTTCTGTAATCGCCTAGTGAAGCAGGCGCGGTTTGCTTATTTAAAAAAATTAAATGTACCATTGCCTAGTTTGTTGGGTTATATTGGTCATGTGTCTGAAAACTTAGGACCCCTAAGTGGACAAAAACATAATTAAGAGGCATCCTTTAAACCGGGTGAGTCCCACTAAGAAAATGGAGTGTCTGGTTACCTGCCTACTTGCCAAGATACTCGCCTAGTTGAGAGAACATGATAGCAGAGACTGACTTCTCAGAAATGTACAGAAACAAGCTATTCAGAAGTTTACAAAGAGGGAGAGTGCGAGAGGGAGAGTGCGAGACAGTAACACACACACACACACACACACACATACATACACACACACATACATACACACACATACATACACGCACATACATACACACACATACATACACACACATACATACACACACATACATACACACACATACACACACATACACACACATACATACACAACACACACATACATACACACATACACACACACCACACATAAACACACACACACACACACATACACACATACACACACACACACACACACACACACACACACACACACACACACACACACACACATACAGACAAAGAGAAAGAGAGAGACCGAGGAAATTAACATCAATTGAATATACCGGGCAGCTTACTCTACTGATGAGCACCAACAAGCAGACATCCGCCGTGTAGGGCACAAGAATAAAAAAAAATGGAAAACGACTGACACTCAACATGGCTGACCAACTGAAGTAGGTTATTTAGACAGATGAATCTGTAGACCAGTACATGCATCTTTTTGGAGCAGTCAAGACTGTAGGAAACATATCTTCTCCCTGAAGATTGAAGGATACTCGAAACTACTACTGCCTTGTAGATTGAAGGATGCCCCACTATGCTGGAGCCACTATGCTGGAACCACTATGCTGGAGCCACTATGCTGGAGCCTTGGAAACTATCTGATGAATGCTCTACCAGAGCTCTGATTACCCTCGAGATGGAACTTGTAAAGTTCCCCCAGGCAATTCCTGATAGAGCCAGGTAATGTTGCTTATGTCAAACTACGTATTGCTAATGCCAGTTACCTGACTAATCGCCGCATCAACCATGCCGGATTCGGGACTAGGCTGCAAGGATGATAATGCCCAGGAATTATCAATAGTTGGTCAATGGGTAGACAAAATGGTAGCTGTAAACAAGATTATCCACATGCCCACGTAATACCAGCATGTGAGCATCCACAGACTCGCACAATGTTGTGAAGGATCTGAGAAAACTGAGCCTTCATGTCAACATCCATTTATTCGCAGTCGTACTAGGAAAACTCCGAAGCCTACAAAATCATGGACGATGGGAGGTAATTAATTCAATACCAGTTCATACTAGTATTGCCTCCTGTGTTAGAGGAGATGAGGCTGCCTAGAAAGTCATCAAAGAGAGTCTGACATCCCTGTGTTGTGGCTCAACGCTACTGAAAGCCCTTTGGGTCAAACTTGATTTTTGAACAACCCTCCCATTTCCAGATACAGGTTTAACCTTTGAGTTTAGTGTTTCACTGAGACTACTACTTACTACCACCACCACTACTACTATTACTACTACTACTTGCTACCACCACCACCACTACTACTATTACTACTACTACTTGCTACCACCACTACTATTACTACTACTACTTACTACCACCACCACTACTACTATTACTACTACTACTACTTACAACCACCACCACTACTACTAACTACTACACTACTTACTACCACCACCACTACTACTTACTACCACCACCACTACTACTTACTACACCACCACCACTACTACTTACTACCCCACCCCACTACTACTTACTACCACCACCACTACTACTACTTACTACCACCACTACTATACTACTACTACTTACTACTACCACCACTACTACATACTACTACTACTTACTATCACCACCACTACTACTACTACTTACTACCACCACTACTACTATTACTACTTACTACCACCACTACTACTATTACTACTTACTACCACCACTACTACTATACTACTACTTATTACCACCACTACTACTATTACTACTACTACTACATACTACCACCACCACTACTACTTCCACCACTACTACTTCCACCACTACTACTTTCTACCACCACCACTACTACTATTACTACTTACTACCACCACTACTACTATTACTATTACTACTTACTACCACCACCACTACTACTATTACTGTTAACCACCACCACCACCACTACTACTACCACCACCACTACTACTTCTTACTACTAGCACCACCATCATTACTACTACTACTACTAACAACCGTAATTCTAACAGCAATGCGTTATTTTGTCAAATGTGAATCAAGTAGCGCCTGAAAATAACGCTACGTCAACAATTCGACGCTCTAATTGTATTCGCTCCAGCATCGTGGTACAGAAAAGCGACTACAGATAAAACGCAGGTACTTGCCTAAGGTGGTGTCACAGACTATTAAACATACCCCTCATCTGGCTGGCGTAACTCTGCAGATGGGAGATGAATGAATTTGCCAA